AACGCATGGAGATTTAAACGGTGTATTTTTAGCGTAAACACCTCAAAACAGATGACTGGCATGAAAATTAATTATTAACTCATAATTAACATATACAAAAATAACAATGAAATTTTGTAATTGGTAAGACTAACACATGTTGAAAATTGGCAAAGTACTTTGAGGAAATACACGTACATTCACACACACAAATGAATTTTGTGGATAAACATTAAACGAAAGTTTTTTTCCTGTAATCGCTGGGGCTTTGAAATCAGAGTTGACAAACTAAATACATAGATCAAGCGGGTGCGTAAAACTTTTGGTTTTTTTTTGCCAGTACGGTATACTTTAAAAGTCAGTATACAAAAAAAAAAATTAATTCTGATAATCCATATCGAAGTATAATCATTAATCGTTAATCGGAGACTAGTAGAACTCATCTTAAAAATAAAATATGTAGATATTATTTGGTTGCCGTCGCTACTGAAAATATCGTAAAAGCGGTACATTGCTGTATGAACACTTTCATATATGTAGCTGCAGCAACTTGAAAGCTTCGATCGGCCTCGCTCGGCTCGGCCCGGCTCGGCTCCGCTTTCTGTATGAACGCACCCTGAGTCTTGCACACCAGGTTTTTAGAAATTATCGTCATCATACCAATTTTAAAATAGTCTCTCTTAAATCAGTGGCGAATCCTGATGAAAATTTGGGAGGGGAGGGGGTGGGGGGAATAACTTTCATAATGGTGTACCTTATTTAATGGTTGTGTTAATAAGTAAACATAAACTCCATTTTTGGTGCATATAGGTATGTACAATGGAAATTCAAAAGTGAATGCACTCACTTTGTTAAATACTTGCAATGTTTTTCAAATAATAAGTTTTTCTTTATATAGAAATAAGTTTTTCTTTATTAGAAAAACTCAAAAAATTTTCATACAAATTTTGAACTTTTTACTATGAATTTTTACAAAAATTTTAGCTATGCAGTTACCAGAAATTCTGGTGAAACAACTGTAAGATTTAAGTAGCTAAAAAATCGAGTTGATTTTTAATTTTTTATTTTTTTTTGCCGACGGCTTTATGCAATTGCCACCATATAAACGTAAATTTCTTGTAGAATAAAATAGTAAGTCGAGTTAAAGCTTGAACCATATTTTTATAAATAAATAATACAAAAATTTTTATCTGAAAACCATTTCAAATATTTAACAAAAATTACCATGCACTCAGTTTTGATCGCCCGTGTAGGTAAATATCGCTCAGTAAAGTCATAATACAAAAAATAAAAATTTTGAGTTGAGTTGAGTTTTCTGCATAACTTTCCTCCCCCGCGGAGCCGCGCCTGTCTTAAATAGAGCACCCGAAATATATGCTGCACAAAGGGAACACAACCACACAAAAAAAATAAAAATAGTAAAAAAATCAAGTCAGATCCTTAGATTTTCAGCAAATCAAACGGAAGCAGGCGAACCATAGAATCGGAAGCAAGAGTTTTAAATGATTTCAACTTACAAATCAGGTGACGTCCTCTGTGATTGGTAGGGTAGGTATCGCTGGTCAAAACAGGGTTAGACTGCTGAAAAGCAGCCATTGGTAGGACAAAACTCAAGTTATAGCGGTATGTAGGTGCACTTAGCAAAAAAAGTAGCACTATTGGTTTTATACGCATTGTTTTAGAATGAAACTTTAAAGAGTATCCTTTTTCGATATCACTATATAGCCATTAATAATAAACATTTGAAAAATAATAGCTTTTAATTTTGGTTAATAATTTGATGACTAAAAGCACAAGTTTTAACCTTAACAATATCAAATTGAGACCTGCATAGTCTTTTTGGTTTCAATGTAACAACGAAAAACATATCAATGCTACAAGGAAAACTATCATTTAGATAAGATGATTCATGAGGAAAAATATATAATCGAAATTTTCACGTTGATGGCTAAATATAAATGCCCTGAGGAAACTTTTTTGAGTGTAGCGACTACTAGATATTGGCGTATGGCATTGATGACCTGTATTTGAAAGTACTGACATACATACATATATACGGCTATCTCAATGATCTTCGTCGCTCCTTCGGTGCACGGAGTATTACACTATCTCTATAAAAGGACAACGGCGACCACCACGAATGATCAAACTGCGACTAATGCCGAATTTGCACTAGGCATTCAAATGACAAAAAATGTATGCCATTTAAAAAAATGCCATGTTGAAATGAACTTAATGAATTTTATTTTTAATGTAATGACACAACTATTTTTAAATGCCCGCCTTTGTCATTTGTCATTTTTGCCATTTAATGCCTAGTAGAAATCCAGCATAAGAATCCCCGTTGACGGCTCAAAAATACCAATGGTTAGTAACCCGAAAAGTTTAAGCAGGCAACGGAATGCGACCTGATATCGCGTGGTAATGCATTGAAAATCCATGAACACAATTCATCGGAAGACCTCTCTGGGCTACTCCACTGCGAACATTTGGCTTCAGAACTTGATCAACTTTGAAATATTACTATGTATTCGGAATATACACAATATCTAGTGAAATAAATATATACCATGCTATGGAGGTATGCCATAAGTCCTAGCGTAATTATATAGAGAATTTCCTCCTCTGCATACATTGTAACATCCTTGCAGGAAATGGGCCTAGTTAACTCCTTTAGAACATAAACTATCAATAATAAAAAAAAATAATTTTTTTTATATTTCTATTTATTTATTTACTTTATTTAAAATTACATATTTGCTTACTTGCTTACATGTTCTTTTGTAGGTAGTTTCATATTTGAATTCGATCAGACATAACATCAAAATGATAATATAAACATTCGACTTTTATTTTATTTGTCTTGAATACGAAAAAGAATCTGCGAAGTGCTGAGAAAATAGTGTATTGAAAGTAATTTTGGTATGAGGATATTCAAATAGAAAGTTTTAAAGAAAACAAACTCCCGATAACGTCTGCATGACTACTCCTGCACGAATTTCCAACTAACTTAAAGTTAGTTTTGTCATAGGTAATTAAATATTAGTTAATTCTCGAAATCCCGAAAAACGCTAACTAGAAGTTGGTT